TCTTTACAGGGTGGTCAGCCTTGACAAGGTGGTTTGTCTTGACGGGTGGTTTGTCTTGACAGGGTGGTCAGCCTTGACAGGGTGGTCAGCCTTGAAGGGTGGTCAGCCCTTGACAGGGTGGTAGCCTTGACAGTGGTCAGCCTTGACAGAGTGGTCAGCCTTGACAGTGGTCAGTCTTGACAGTGGTCAGCCTTGACCGAGTGGTCAGCCCTTTACAGAGGTGGTCAATCTTGACAGAGTGGTCAGCCTTGACAGTGGTCAGTCTTGACAGTGGTCAGCCTTGACAGTGGTCAGTTTGACAGTGGTCAGTCTTGACAGGGTGGTTTGTCTTGACAGGGTGGTTTGTCTTGACAGGGTGGTCAGCCTTGACAGGGTGGTCAGTCTTGACAGGGTGGTCAGTTTGACGGGTGGTTTAGTCTTGACAGGGTGGTCAGTCTTTACAGGGTGGTCAGTCTTGACAGGGTGGTCAGCCTTGACAGAGTGGTCAGCTTAACAGTGGTCAGCTTAACAGGGTGGTCAGCCTTGACAGTGGTCAGTCTTGACGGGGTGATCACTGCATAACACTTCATCCTTCTTCCACGTCGACCTGGCGTCATTCTCAGCGATAAAAAATAGCAAATCTTGGTTTTCGGCGCCATACATGCCTGAGCAGTTCACAAATTTCAAATTATAGAATACAGCCTCGCCATGATGGTAGTGGCGGTGGTGTTGGTTACTTGTTCGGCAGCAGTAAGAGAACGGTGCTGTGCTTCCATCCTGTGTTCAGTTGGTGCTCTCCCTTGTGGGTTTAGAGATTGTTTTTGATTATAATAATCAACTAGTGGTCAGAGATATGTAGACTGACCAGCCATGCAGGGCTGGTCACTAGTGTTGGCAGTAATGTCTCTCCGGGACGGTATAACAAGAATTGCAGCTCATTTGTCACTGATTCCTCTGTGTCGGACATCTTTCACACAGTGATGGGGTCTCTCAGCATGCGAGAAAGGCCATGGAATTAGCAGAATAAGGAAGATATATGGGGAGCTCCTGAGTGTACGTACGTCCTCAAATGCAGCAGCAGTGTCTCTGTCAGGGTCTCACCTTCCAACAAGGAGGGAACACTTCTGATTGGCTACTATACCTTGAATGATTTCTGATTGGCTCTCGGAGTTGATATTTCCAATATTTATCACCATTTCACACTTATTATAACTCGTTTCAGGTTATTCATAATTTAAAAACAGCCTAGTACCTTAATTAAATATGCCCTTAGCCTAGTACAACACCAAATATTAAAAAAATATGTATACTAACCTTTTTAAAGAGTAAACTTTCAGTGTTGGAATGGTATATTAGTGACTATGGGGGACTCAAGTATAAAAGGGCATGAATATTAACAAAAAGAATATAGGTCCATTATGGACCTAGTATGTCTCCTTCATCAATCACATGTTCACCCTTCTCCTGTAACAAGGAAATAAAATTATGGGGCTCCAGAGCGTTAACATGTCCTGGCATCTTTATTTGCTAAGTATAAAGCTCTCCTACAACACAGGATCATTTAAGGTTGCATTTCTCCTGTACATCATCAATTGAAAACAGGAATTATAGTAAACTTTCAGTGTATATGCACTAAGAGATACACACTTCTCGGTATATACACCCTGTGGATGACTGGCTGGTTAATTAATTGAGTTTATAGCCTGTGGAGTACACGAGGGTCATTAAGGCTGCATGTAACCGCTTCACCTCCAGCCAAAAATACTTTACTTCCTTTAATAGAGATTAAAATAAACTTTCAGCATGAATATACGCAAAGGCATACACCTCCAGGAGTATATATCCTTGTATATTGTTGTATATATTATTATTATTATTAAAGATTCGCCGGTATTCTCCCGGCCCGGGCCTTTTCCAAGTGGTGGCCCGGCCTTGGCTCCCTCTTTAGGGAGTGTCTGAGACCTAAGTCTCCCATGGGAGGAGGCACAAGTACCTCCTCATCTTTGGGACCAATTGTCCCCAGGCCTAGCCACAAGCTAGGCCTCTCTGGTCTGCCATCCCCGCCCCAAGGGGGCTAATGGGAATGACAGTCTTATGAGCTACATGCTCGGGCTCAGGCACCTACCCTACCCTAGAAGGGTTAGGCATGGTATCGATGTGTTGTATATATCCTTGGGATTAGAGTAAGTATTATCAGTCTGTCTGCAGAAAATAAATTATATTATTATGTAAAATTAGATTAAATACTTTTAAACTAGTATTATAAATAAAATTTTATGTATAACATTTATATTTTAAATTATTTAGTATTATCATAAAAATAATATTTAACATTAGTTAATAATAAAATATATTGGATATCTTAAATCAATCAAATACATGTTTAACCAGGGCCGGATTTAGACCTTGGGGGGGGGCCAGGGCACTTTAGGTTTGGGGGCCCTCAACATGGAAATTTAATTGAATAACAAATAAGAAATGAGCTAAAATGAATGATAAACAACAATGCAACATGGTTTCAGAGCAGGTCGCTCCTGCCTTTCGCAACTGCTTGACCACTATGATATGGTCCTAGATGCACTGGAAAACAAACAGAATGCAGATGTAGTATACACAGACTTTGCAAAAGCCTTTGACAAGTGCGACCATGGTGTAATAGCACACAAAATGCGTGCTAAAGGGATAACCGGCTAAGTAGGCAGATGGATCTTCAACTTTCTAACCAATCGCACACAAAGAGTAGTGGTAAACAGAGTTTAATCAGATGGTGCCATAGTGAAGAGCTCTGTCCCACAAGGCACAGTACTCGCACCTATCCTGTTCCTTATTCTCATATCAGACATAGACAGAGATGTAAACCACAGCACTGTATCATCTTTTGCAGACGATACTAGGATCTGCATGAGAGTGTCATCCATTGAGGACACGGCAAAGCTCCAAGAAGATATAAACCAAGTTTTCCAATGGGCAACAGAGAACAATATGATGTTAAATGAAGACAAATTCCAACTACTCCGTTATGGAAAACTGGAGGAAATAATAACTAGAACTGAGTATACTACTAACTCTAATCACACAATAGAGCGGAAAAGTAATGTGAAGGACCTGGGTGTGGTAATGTCCGAAGACCTCATCTTCAAGGACCACAACAATGCCACTATCACATCTGCTAGGAAACTGATAGGATGGATAATGAGAACATTCAAGTCAATGATGATCCTTTTTAAATTTCTTATTCTTTCAAGACTGGAATACTGCTGTACATTAACATCCCCATTCAAGGCAGGTGAAATTGCAGAACTAGAGAATGTACAGAGAACCTTTACTGCACGTATAAGTTCCATCAAACACCTTAACTACTGGGAGCGCCTGGAAGCACTTGACTTGTACTCACTAGAGGGAGGCGAGAGAGATATACCATAATCTACACCTGGAAGATTCTGGAGGGACTGGTCCCTAATATGCACACAGCAATTACTCCATACGAAAGCAAAAGACTTGGCAGGCGATGCAACATACCCCCAGTGAAAAGTAGGGGCGTCACTGGTACACTAAGAGAAAACACAATAAGTGTCCGGGGCCCAAGACTGTTCAACAGCCTCCCACCAGCAATAAGGAGCATTACGGGAAGACCCTGGTTGTCTTCAAGAGGGAGCTGGTCAGATACCTAAAGACGGTGCCGGATCAGCCGGGCTGTGGTTCGTACGTTGGATTGCGTGCGGCCAACAGTAACAGCCTCGTTGATCAGGCCCTGGTCCTCCGGGAGGCTTGGTCGTGGACCGGGCCGCGGGGGCGTTGATCCCCGGAATGTCCTCCAGGTAGACTCCAGGCAGGTTTCGAAGAAGACGTCTGATCAATATTATTGATTTTAAGAATGACCGACTATAATTTTCAGTTTGTAATGTATTTCGTCTACACTATATAATAATTACCGATGTGTATTTATTTATATCTTTGTTATCATGCTTTCGGTATCTATATATATAGTGGCAGTTGACCAAACGGACAGATGCTTTTCTGACAGGAAGGACACTACTCCCACGAGCCCTCCAAGGGCGGGGATGGTACCAGAGCCAGAGCTTACTACCACGTGCAGCTCACACGACTGCCGCTCCCATGAGCCCCCCTGGGGTGGGACAGATGGCAGACCAGAGGCCTAGCTTCTCCCTACAAGCCCCGAGAGGGCAGGGAATGGGGCTAGGCCTGGGGACAGTTGGTTCCGAAGCTGAGGAGGTACTTGTACCTCCTCCTGTAGGAGACATAGATCTCAAGACACTCCCAAGACATGGAGCCAAGGGCGGGTCACCATCAGGAAAAGACCCGGGCCGGGAGAATTACCGGCGAATCAGGAACAACAACAATCTGACAGGAAATCACATGGCTGGGTCTGAATCACATGGTGACGCTTCACTGTTCATGTCTACCGAAGTATCTGTATAATGTGGTTGATTCATCGCCTCTACTATCTTGATCTGTTATGTTCTTTTTATTTTCTGCAGATGTACTTGGGAATGCGGGTGGATCCTCAGAAGAAACATCATCTGGTAGTGGTGTTCGTTCTTCATGAGTAAATAGAATCATCAAAACTTATTGCTTGGGTACCATTGAAAATTGAGTTGGGCAAATATTCTGTTAGTGGGATGGATTGTGAAGGACCTGCCTAGTATGGGCCAACAGGCCTACTGCAATGTTCCTCCTTTCTTATGTTCTTAATTCATTTTATTAATTAAACTAATTTTTTATTGTTACATTTTGTTATAAAGGAAGTCCTTCGTCTGGGGGCCCCTCTGGCAGGGAGGCCCTGGGCAGTTGCCCTCTTATAAATCCGGCCCTGGGCAGTTGCCCCTTTATAAATCCGGCCCTGGTACTAGTGGTACAATAGTTGTGGAGTTCAGCGCCTCTGGTGGTGAGAGTGGTGGCCTTGAGAGAGGTTCCTTGAGAGTGGTGATGGCATAGATCACATCCAAAGAAAGTGATCTATGGCACCTGGGAGTGAACTTATCGTCCTAGGTGGTCCATGACCCCCCACGGGTTGAGCGCCCCACCATGAGTAGTACTGATAGTTATGGTGTAGTACTGCCATCTAGTGGTGGTAGTCAGAGTTAGTCAGGTTATCAGTGATAGTGTTATAGTGAAGGTCAGGACAGTGACCAACCTCAAGGGCACTGAAGGTCAGTTGAACTTTAATGGTAGTACAGGAGAGGTGTGTTGCTCCTCCTCCTGCCGCCCCGCCGGCTTTACCGCTTTCTCATCCTTTTAATACACCTAAATAACGTAAGTATTGTCTGGTGACGTATTTGTCAGTGCAACAGCAGAGTTGAGCTGCAGCTCCTGGTCCTCATCACCAGTTTGGTCACCAAATTATTATTTTAAGTCTTAATTTTCTATGGGGTCTAATGTCTTAGAGGGGGGCGGGGGTGACTGACCTTAGTGGAAGGGTTTTGATGCGAGGAACTGGAGCTACTCCCCTTCCTCTGATCAAACAATAACTCTCACACTAGGCGTTACAAAACCCATAATGGTTTTTCCAGTTCTGGGCTATTTTTTCCATTATTGAAAGATAACTTAGCGAAGGTCTCTTGATCCAAGGAACTTGTGTCTTGTGATCCAGATATAGACTTCCATGTTAACAAATTGTTAGTCACCAGGTTTACGTGAAAGAAATATTTATTAAAAGAAAAGATAGCTGTACTATGTTAAACATTAATGGTTGTATCAGTCAGGCAGTAATGTTACTAGTTTATATTACATGGTAATGTTTGCCTATAAATGTGTGTAATGTTCATGGTTTTAATGCGACTGTTTTGTTTCAGGTGTGGTAACTGAGGAGTGCTGTGCCTGGCTGTGTCTGCTGCAACATTGATCAACACAGCAGCAGTCTGAGGGGTGGAGACAATCATACAAGTAAATGGTCTGACCCATAGCATTTAGTGTTATATGGAGATGCAGCAGTTGGAGACGTCTTAAGAGGTGGGCAGGGCTCACTTGTAAAGTATTTCCAGGTTATAAATCTGCTGAAGTTTGGTTATTTAATCAGTAATTGTATTAGGTGGGAAGGTGGTGGGGAGAGTATAGGAAAGACTGTAAGCAATTGATATCATAAGTAGCTTAGTGGGAAGTATTAGCTTATCTCCCGACCAGAGATGAAATCTCTAGCCAGGAAATAATGGGGAATGTATTCTATAGGTTACCTTGAATGGGGTGGAAATTAAAATTGGAGAAATGAGTTGTAAAGCTTAGAATTGAAGACCGATTAGAGATTTTAGGAAGTTTTAGTTAGTGTAATATTTTCATTATGTAGTCTATACCCATCCTGCAAGATTGTAGGAAGCAGAGATGGAATGTGTAAGTGATATATCATGGCTCAGTTGGTAAGGGCGTCAACTGAAGAACCGAGATTCGATCCCGGTTGTAAGGGCGTCAACTGAAGAACCGAGATTCGATCCCGGGCACAAGTGGGCATGTTCCTTTATATCCATTGGCACTGTTCACATAAGAAAGGAGGAACACTGCAGCAGGCCTACTGGGAGGGGTCGCATCCTGGGACAGTATAAATACCCTAATAAAAATGACATAATATTCTGACTTGATTGTGTAATTGTGTTAATCTACCGAGTTAATAATTATACTGAGATAGTTTAGTGTGGTGAGGGTAATGGTAGAGGTGTTGATGCTGGGTGTGGTGAGGGTAATGGTAGAGGTCTTGATGCTGGGTGTGGTGAGGGTAATGGTAGAGGTGTTGATGCTGGGTGTGGTGAGGGTAATGGTAGAGGTGTTGATGCTGGGTGTGGTGAGGGTAATGGTAGAGGTGTTGATGCTGGGTGTGGTGAGGGTAATGGTAGAGGTGTTGATGCTGGGTGTGGTGAGGGTAATGGTAGAGGTCTTGATGCTGGGTGTGGTGAGGGTAATGGTAGAGGTGTTGATGCTGGGTGTGGTGAGGGTAATGGTAGAGGTGTTGATGCTGGGTGTGGTGAGGGTAATGGTAGAGATCTTGATGCTGGGTGTGGTGAGGGTAATGGTAGAGGTGTTGATGCTGGGTGTGGTGAGGGTAATGGTAGAGATCTTGATGCTGGGTGTGGTGAGGGTAATGGTAGAGGTCTTGATGCTGGGTGTGGTGAGGGTAATGGTAGAGGTGTTGATGCTGGGTGTGGTGAGGGTAATGGTAGAGGTGTTGATGCTGGGTGTGGTGAGGGTAATGGTAGAGGTGTTGATGCTGGGTGTGGTGAGGGTAATGGTAGAGGTGTTGATGCTGGGTGTGGTGAGGGTAATGGTAGAGGTGTTGATGCTGGGTGTGGTGAGGGTAATGGTAGAGGTCTTGATGCTGGGTGTGGTGAGGGTAATGGTAGAGGTCTTGATGCTGGGTGTGGTGAGGGTAATGGTAGAGGTGTTGATGCTGGGTGTGGTGAGGGTAATGGTAGAGGTGCTGATGCTGGGTGTGGTGAGGGTAATGGTAGAGGTGTTGATGCTGGGTGTGGTGAGGGTAATGGTAGAGATCTTGATGCTGGGTGTGGTGAGGGTAATGGTAGAGGTCTTGATGCATGGGTGTGGTGAGGGTAATGGTAGAGGTGCTGATGCTGGGTGTGGTGAGGGTAATGGTAGAGGTGCTGATGCTGGGTGTGGTGAGGGTAATGGTAGAGGTGTTGATGCTGGGTGTGGTGAGGGTAATGGTAGAGGTGCTGATGCTGGGTGTGGTGAGGGTAATGGTAGAGATCTTGATGCTGGGTGTGGTGAGGGTAATGGTAGAGGTCTTGATGCTGGGTGTGGTGAGGGTAATGGTAGAGGTCTTGATGCTGGGTGTGGTGAGGGTAATGGTAGAGATCTTGATGCTGGGTGTGGTGAGGGTAATGGTAGAGATCTTGATGCTGGGTGTGGTGAGGGTAATGGTAGAGGTCTTGATGCTGGGTGTGGTGAGGGTAATGGTAGAGGTGCTGATGCTGGGTGTGGTGAGGGTAATGGTAGAGATCTTGATGCTGGGTGTGGTGAGGGTAATGGTAGAGGTGTTGATGCTGGGTGTGGTGAGGGTAATGGTAGAGGTCTTGATGCTGGGTGTGGTGAGGGTAATGGTAGAGATCTTGATGCTGGGTGTGGTGAGGGTAATGGTAGAGGTGCTGATGCTGGGTGTGGTGAGGGTAATGGTAGAGGTGTTGATGCTGGGTGTGGTGAGGGTAATGGTAGAGGTCTTGATGCTGGGTGTGGTGAGGGTAATGGTAGAGGTCTTGATGCTGGGTGTGGTGAGGGTAATGGTAGAGGTGTTGATGCTGGGTGTGGTGAGGGTAATGGTAGAGGTGTTGATGCTGGGTGTGTTGAGGGTAATGGTAGAGGTGTTGATGCTGGGTGTGGTGAGGGTAATGGTAGAGGTCTTGATGCTGGGTGTGGTGAGGGTAATGGTAGAGGTCTTGATGCTGGGTGTGGTGAGGGTAATGGTAGAGGTTTTGATGCTGGGTGTGGTGAGGGTAATGGTAGAGGTTTTGATGCTGGGTGTGGTGAGGGTAATGGTAGAGGTCTTGATGCTGGGTGTAGTGAGGGTAATGGTAGAGGTCTTGATGCTGGGTGTGGTGAGGGTACTGGTAGAGATCTTGATGCTGGGTGTAAGGAAAGCCTATTAAATCAGGCATAGCCACTATAAAGCCATAAGACAGAAGCACTAAAGCAGGCCTATTGGCCCATGTTAGGCGGGGCCAGCTCTCAACCACTCATTTGTCTAACATATTTTTAAAACTACACAGCCAGAGTTCGTCGCACATGACGGGATAAATTTTCCTTGGGCAGAATATATTGTAGCTGGAAAAATCAATAACAATTCCTTAGAAATGTGGAATTACCCACATCAACATATTTTCAGTAGGGTTGTAGAGGGCCTCGCCAAGTAATTTTATGCTTTGAAGTCCCAAATATATTTTCAGTAGTATAGCCTTGTAGGTTTAGCGCTTACGATTCCAGAGTCTGAATTAGAGCGTCTTGGGGGGGGGGAGCATTTTTGAAATTGTTATACAGTATATTTTTAGAGAGATTTTGTAGATGTGATTGATCTTACCTAGACCCCCCCTTGATCTTACCTAAACCCCCTTGATCTTTCATTCACCTCCCTTCATCCCCCCCTTTCGCCGCCACTGCTCTGCAAATTACTAAAGCCTATACCTGGAGTATGCTTCATAGTCGTGGTGTTATATATATATAACACTTTGTAGGTCTACAATTATTTAGTTTCAACTAACAAAATAACTTGCAGAATAAGGTGGTGTTAAGTAGGATAGGTAAGGTATAGAACTGGAGAATCTGCTATATGCATTATGAGTGCATATAGCAGGGGAGAGTAATCTCCCCTGAAGGCATAGATTACGTAGAACTGTTGGCCTTGGAACCCACCAACGACCTTCAGAAGCTGTGTGAAATCTGTATTGCACGTGGTTTCTGTGGGGATGTTGGTGGGTTTCGGGCTTTGGGTAGTGGTTGTGGTGGGTGTTCTACGTATTTTATGCCTTTGGCCATAAAATATCGATTCATTGAGTTTACATAATTTCATCATTTTGGAAAATTTAATCGGCGTTCAGGTTCCTATGAATATAAAAGTATTAGCGTTCAGAATTACAGTTGGTGTAACGCTTCTGGCAGCAGACGTTAATGATGACATTAATGAAAACCTCTGTGATCGGAAGTGAAGTGTTAGTCGGTAGAAAGGATTCGCTAACATCTGATGCTGATGAGTATAGTTGGGGGAGGGGGTATTTTAGTGTGGTATTAGTGAGAATAGGATTATTAACCCTACTGGGTTAGAAACCCAGAAAAATAGGGAGAGGGGGGGGTGAATGTAGTGGTCCTCAGGTTATGCCTAGGATGCCAGCCATAACTGGCAGGTAAGGTAGGTTATGAATTAAGGATAGCAAAGTAGTGTTAGGAAACGGGTATACGGCAGAGCTCGAACTGGTTAGATAAGTGTTGGGTGTTAGCCTAGTGTGTTACGAGGGACGTGGAAGTGTAGGGGAAATACAATGTCTTAATGATCTTACCTTCGCTAGTACAAAGACACTCCTTGAAGGTAGTTATCGAGATAAGCAGTTGCAAGTACCCTCCCCTTCCTTGGATCAAACCTGATGGTCTAACAACTTGGGGAATGTGTATAACCCCTATGGATATTATAGTTATGGGAAATTTTATTTAGGTAAATGTGCACTTATGTCAAATTGTTTGAAAGGAAGGGGAGAGGAGCGGTGAATTTTCGGGGGACTGACTCAGGTTTGAATCAGATAGGTCGATGAGGGGAGTAGTGCAAGTTAACTGGAAAAAAATTTTGGCAGTCAAATGTAGGCGTCTAAGGGATATTAGGAGTAGGTTTGGGTAGATATGTTACGGAGTTTGTAATGGAGGGTAAACTCTTTTAATTGCCGCAGAATCCTCATGACAAGACAACACTGGAGACAAGAGGTGATCACATGATCATTAGCCTGTGTTAGAAGACTCGTGCACGTGGAGTGTTGTACATGACTCCCCAGTGTTGCAACACTTACCTTCCTGACAAAAACACAAGGTCATGAAATTTAAAAATGTATCATACCTCAAACTACTACTAATGGCAGTATTGAGGCTGTCCGCCTCATTACTACTATTGTTAGTAGGGTTGGGGTAGGTGTATATTTTTTTTTTTTCCCCGAGCTTAAAGCTCCCGAATTGTGTGAATGTTGTACTGCTGACAAATACAACAGTTGAGGCTGTCTCGATTATTTCCTTTTTCTATTTCTTTTGTGTTCCTTGAACACCTTTGTGTTCCTTGAACACCTTTGTGTGTGTTCCATGAACATATCTTTGCTGTGATAAAGAAAGATAATTTATTTATTACGTTTAATTAATGATCTTAAGTTTATCGAGTCTTGTAGGTTGAAGATATTCTCCGTGTTGTGGGCAGCTGCTGTGTGGTGAAGTCCGTGTTGTGGGCAGCTGCTGTGTGCTGAAGTCCGTGTTGTGGGCAGCTGCTGT